GTGCATTGAATTTATTTAATACACGAGTTTCACAATTTGAGTTGAATTACTGAAATAAATGAACTTTTCCACGACATTCTAATTTATTGAGATGCACCTGTATTAGCATGATATATTGTCCAAAACTATGGAACGATATTCCGGACAATTTTCAAAAGGACTTGCAAATTGTATTTTCAATTGCGTTTTCCATATGTGGACGCATAAATTGTGACATAATCCAAATGCAATTGCAAATCCTGCATTACCGTTTGCATTTTCGCTTTCGCGAACGCACAGTGACTGCCAAATTTCAAATGAAGACGCAAAGTCCATTTGCAACTGTATTTCCCATGTCTTAGGAGTTACGAGCCTGTCATACTTAAATAGCAATATTAATTACCACGTCTGCTTTTTCACTCTCGCTGCGTGTAACCTGCCAAAACTCAAATGGAATGGCAATTCCGTTTGCATTTGAATTTCCGATGTCTACATGGAAAGCTGCCAATCATCGTCAGGGGCGGGACTATACTAGGGGGCGTGTTTGTATTGGGAGGTGACGTCACTCAACCTTCTTGGCACAATACATAATTCTGTCTTTTTTACCCCAAATGTAGCAATTATCCCCTGCTAACAGCGGGAGCCACAACGGTACGCACAAGACGTCACCTCCCAATACAAACACGCCCCCTAGTATAGTCCCACCCCTGACGATGATTGGCAGCTTTCCATGTAGACATCGGAAATTCAAATGCAAATGGAATTGCGATTCCATTTGAGTTTTGGCAGGTTACATGCGCGTCGCAGCGAGAGTGAAAAAGCAGACGTGGTAATTAATATTGCTATTTAAATATGACAGGCTCGTAACTCCTAAGACATGGGAAATACAGTTGCAAATGGACTTTGCTTTTTCATTTGAAATTTGGCAGTCACTGTGCGTTCGCGAAAGCGAAAATGCAAACGGTAATGCAGGATTTGCAATTGCATTTGGATTATGTCACAATTTATGCGTCCACATATGGAAAACGCAATTGAAAATACAATTTGCAATTCCTTTTGAAAATAGTCCAGAATATCGTTCCATACATTGGATTAGTTTCTTCTTTAAATAAAAAGTTAAAATATGCATGGTATTATAATGTCATATTAAAACTAAAATTAAAACAATGGAAAAACCCTTAAGATAACTTGTAGAAAGAAAAACACATCTTAAGCACACAGAATAACATAAGTGGACTTTGAACGATTACATAATTGTGACATCCGTAATTGTAATCGCGATTAGAAATTCAATTAATTGTGCAGCCCTAACTCATACACTATGTACTTATGCACTATGTAATCAACCATGTATAGTATGAATTATATAAGGTTATTTTGTCGTTCATAATCGGAGTCTGATAGCCCCTCCCCCTTCGGTACGTAAATAAAGCTGCGACAATTGAGTGCATGAAGTGTCCAACATTCCACTCTTCATTTGGGCATCATATGACCCCTTTAATGTTTGTTAGTGATGGGAGAAACGAACCTTTTTACAGCTTTGAATCAATTAAATCAACTTCGCAAAACGATTCACATAGCAAATGTTTTATTGAAAGTCTGATATATTAAATGCAATTAACAAATCATCAGATAACTAATATGAAGTGCCTGTATAACATGTGTACTTTGATTCATTTGTAGGATTTTGTTTGTTTTTACGGAGGGCTAAACAGGCCAATCATAGACTATTAACTACTACTCTTCCTTTTATTTACACAAACGTATCATTAAAAATGTCTACAAATTTATAAAACTGATCCGAGATCGATAAAAACCAGACACTGGTTCACTGTTTTGCCGCTGGGCCACTCTTAATGATTCATGGGCTCACAGCGATTGCCCTCCTAACGGCGAACCATCGACATTTCGAAACATTTTGAAACAGTTGTGACGTAACAAAACCTCAGAAATCCAGTGTGCAGACTTGGTAAAACAGCGAAGTGATAATGAATTTTTATTGACCTCTCGCATTTATTTTGGTCTCTTTCTTTCCAGAGTGATTGAAAAGAATGGTGTGGGGATAATAGTTGACCAGGACAGTCTGGAGTTTGTCAAAGGATCCACTATTGACTTCAGTCAGGAGCTCATCCGTTCTTCCTTTCAGGTGTTGAAGAACCCACAGGCTGAACACGGCTGCTCATGCGGCTCGTCCTTCTCTGTCAAAATCTGACGCCCATCCTCTCTCCATCACAGCGTTATAGTTTATGAAGTTGTTAATGTGTGCATAGCTATGTGCTTGTTGAAGATCAGCCAAAAGCATGATGATAAACTAACGTGAGGGGTTCTGATATGCTAAATCTATTAATATGACCACAGAGGATGTAATAGAAGAAAAACAAAAATCAGACCCTACAGTTGGTGGCTTGTTGTATATAAGGAAGACTAAATATATTTCGAATAAAGTTATAATATGATTTGCCATTGCCTGTTAAGATTATTCTTTTGGAGGGAGGGGGGGGGCATTCTCAGGGTTAGTCGCATAGCTTATCACAGCCTATTATTCTGTGATTTGAATCAGTGTTCAGAGGAATCATGTGATAATGAATAGGTCAACATTTCTTAAGATACAGCTCGGATATAGGTGACCCTGGACCACAAAACCAGTCATAAGTGTCAATTTTGTTTGAGATACAACTATTAGAAAATCGAATCTGAGTGCAAAAAAAATCTAAATATTGAGGAAAATCACCTTTAAAGCTGTTCAAATGAAGTTCTTAGCAATGCATATTACTAATCAAAACTGAAGTTTTTATATATTTACGGTAGGAAATTTACAAAATATCTTAATGGAACATGATCTTTACTTGATATCCTAATGAGTTCTGGCATAAAAGAAAAATCGATAATTTTGACCCATACAATGTATTTTTGGCTATTGCTACAAATATACCCCAGCGATTTAAGACTGGTTTTGTGGTCCAGGGTCATATATATATATATATATAGCATAAAATTGATTAATCACAATTGAATTGAAATACTTTCGGATTAGATTATAAAAAGTATAAATCGCATATTATCTTGATCATAAGGAAGTTCATTATCATAGTATATGATGCATTGTTTTATGATGACAAAGTCTTTTCCTGAAGATGATCAAAGCCAACAAACTGTCAAAAGATTTTAAAGGAATCTTCCGTGTTCAAAAGAAGTTAAGCATGATTTCTGCCAAAAAACATTATTTGAACTCTGTCCTCATAATAAGTGCATTACTGTAAACTATAGTGTGATAATTGATGATATGTCACCGATTTGTTTTAAGCCCACACAATCAATCTACATCACTTCAGCAAAAGAAGTTAAGCATGATTTCTGCCAAAAAACATTATTTGAACTCTGTCCTCATAATAAGTGCATTACTGTAAACTATATTTAGTGTGATAATTGATGATATGTCACCGATTTGTTTTAAGCCCACACAATCAATCTACATCACTTCAGAATGAGTGTGATTTCAATGAAATCAGAAACTGAGTGTTAAGTGTTTTACATGAACGTGTCATATATATTTACTTTTTTTTTTTTTATTAAACTTGGCTTTTAAGAAACATTTCACAAAAATATACAAAAGAATGTCTTTACAAATGATATTTACATTGATAAGAAAATCAAAATATGCATTAAGCACATCTCTTTCGGTCAGGATGATACCGAAGGAGAGAAAATGTTGCATTTCATATCTTCAGTTCACTTTGAACCTCGACAATCCAGCTGAGTAAAATCAAATGAAAATAAAAACAATAAAAAAACTTTAATTCCTAATCAGAATGAATATGATGTTATAAAGGCTTCAGCAGCAAGATGAACAGTGATTTCAGATAAGACAGCATTGAAACAAACTCTTTTCATTCATTTTCTGAAGGATTGCAATTGCATTACCATTTTTTCTTTTAAACTTCGATCTCAGACATGAAACACAAAGCATAAAGTTCATACCTACTCGCACAGACGCACAAACAGACATCTCAAGTTCACGAATCGAGCTAAAATTGCTACATATGAGGTTAGGAGTGTCATCTATACTGTTTAGGGAGATCACGTTCCAGATCAACATTAACAGACCACTGGACTACCACAGTGAGCAGGTCAAGTATACAGTGCATAGAATGCTTTGGCATGCTGACATCCTAGAATATAACGCCAGTGTTACATTCAGGGAGAAGGCCACAGGAGATCTAAAAAACCCTCAAAAAGAACCAACATAACTACAACAGAAAACAATCGGGTTATAATAGAAAACGAGAATCTCCAACAGAAAAACACACCTAAATGAACAAAAATATGGGTAGTTTAAGGCTAATCGTACTTAGCTTGCTACAAGTTCTTTTTCATTTGGAAAAAAATCTTAAAGAACATTTGTACAGATGGACTCCAAAATAAATTACGTTCTGCAACTTGTAGCGCAGAATTTTCTTTTTTGTGTGTGTGTGTGTGGTGGGGTAAACACACACATCTGACAGATCTTTTACTGTGTTTTGGGTCATGTGACACTATCGACCCAACTATCATTCAAAAACAGCTGAGTTCAGGTATGGGTGACGGCTCATTAAGACGCATGGATCTGGTCCCGGAGCAGACAGATGGTGAAATCCTCATTCCATGAGTCGGTTCACTCGTGCTGTCAGCTGGGCTTGTGATGGTTTTGAGGCAGAGGAGAGGAGACTGCATGCCATCAGTGAGGAGCGTGAACACACCGCCATACAAACAGACTGAAACACACACACAGAGAAAATGTAACAACATCATTGTAGAAGCATTTATAATAGTAATTTTAGTGCGACTCCCCAAAATTCTTGGTTCTGATTGGTTAATGACAGCATACTGCAGTGTATAATTAACTGATGCCCAATGGATTTCCTACTGTACTGTAGTTTCATGTCTGTTTATTGTCCATTTTTTATGTATGTATTCATTCATTCATTCAAATTTTACTTGGCAATATGAAAAAAGTTCATTTTGGATCCTAATTTTGCCTTGGTCATGGGTCATTCCAAAATATTTATATACTGTATATACACTACCATTCAATAGTATGGGGTTAGCAGGATTTTAATTTTAGATTTTAAGAAATGAATACTTTTATTCAGCAATGATGCATTAAATTGATCAAAAGTGACAGTAAAGACACTTACATTGTTACAAAAAATTCATCAAAGAATACTGAAAATATTAAGCGGTGCAACTGTTTTCAACATTGATAATAAGAAATGTTTCTTGAGCACTAAATCAGCATATTAGAATAATTTCTGAAGCATCATGTGCTGAAAATTCAGCTTTGCCATCACAGGAATAAATACAATTTTTAAATATATTCAATTCAATTAAATTCAAGTTTATTTGTATAGCGCTTTTCACGATACAAAAATTGTTGCAAAGCAACTTTACAGAAAATTAAGTTTCTACAATATTTAGTAGTAGCTTAAATAGCTTTTCTATATTCAAATAGAAAAGTTGAAATTGTAATAATATTTTAGTGTTGCTGTTTTTACTTTATTTACTTCATTAGGTTTATTATACTATGCGTGTCTGTATGTGTGTGTATACATGAATGAAATGTCATTAATAATACAAAGAGATAAATTATTATTATTATTATTATTTCGCTATCCTGTCTATATTATACAGTTCTGGGTCAAAAGAACAGAACAAAATTGTTTTTGTTAAAAGTGTACCAACAATGCAACATGCAAACGGTCTCAATATGCTGATTCAAAAAAGGAAGAATAATAAAGAAAATACAGCAAGATGCGGTCTGTGAGGAACAGATGACACCAGAACAAGCACCTTCTATCATCGCCTCCGGCGCTGACGACAAAGCGATCCCCACTGGTGAAGCGAATGTTGGTCAGGTGGGCAGAGTGGCCCAGAAAACGCTTGTGTTTGGCCTGAGGAAACAGATTCTAGTCAGACGATCTGTTATCTTTGGATATATAATGGAAATAAACATTTTAAAATCCAATTAAACAGCTGAACTTTGGCTGTTGTGAGAATGTTTTGATCGGTGTTGGCCAGAACTGAGTCACATCCAGTCTTGTGATGTACTGTCACATGCTGCGGCATTTCCTCAGCATTCAGTAAAATACAATATGCAGAGACAGCGGAAATTAGTCTGTGGTTTCTATTTATCTGTAGGAACAGCACTATTGACCCTCATGAAAAACAAGTACACTTTAACATACTTTAAAAAAAAGAGTACTCATAAAAAAGAATATACTTTAAAAGAATATACTTATATTTACTTAATGTATTTAAATGTGAACTGAAAGTAATGTTTTCAGACAGTTAATTGCATGTTATTGACAATTAAATGGAAATGTCTTTGTTTAAATTTATATTAAATGCAATTAGTTGAACTTTAGAGTGCAACTCTTTGTATGGCAGGATTAATTTATAATCGACAATTATGAAATATCACCAATGAGTAAAGCCCACCTTCATTTGTACAAATAATTATGAAGATCAAAGGCAAACATCATTGTTATACACGTATGTTGTCTGTAAGTCCATAAAATGTGGACAAAGGTGTTTGTAATTGCGTGTTGTTATATTTGAAAGGATTTTATGGTGACAGTGTGTAATATAATGGGAGGAGAAGAGGACAGAGGAGTGTCAGTGTGTCTAAATAACTGTAAAATGCGCATACTACAAGTTATACACATTTGCAACCTCAAGGCAAATAAAGTAAGCTAATAAACATTTTTACAGTTGAGATGTGCATCAAACTAAAAGATGCAATGCAGGAATTCATTTGAAAATGAGCACTTTAGCTAAAGTTTATAAAGCATAGTTTGAAGCCACGATACATTTATAAAGTATTTCAAAGAATTGATTAAGGATGTGAGCTGATGAACTCGTATTGGTTTGTCATACAGGTTTGGATTGACATGAGGGTGAGTAAACGATGACAGTATTGTATTTTGGGGTGTTCTGTCTCTTTAAAAGATTAAATATTTGCAAAAATACATTAGTGTTTGGTTGTTCTTTTAACCATGATGTATGGCAGTCTAGCAATACACTATAGGACTATTACACAAACTATTATACTATATAGACATCATTACACAAAGTTTGGACCTGCCAGGTAATTTACACATGTGTGTTAAAGGTGACATATCATGAAAATATGAGTTTTCCAGGTTTTAAGTGCTATAATCAGGTCCCCAGTGCATCTACCAATCAAGGAAATGTGAAAAAGATTAAGCCAGTAACTTTGTTTTGGTAAGCCTTTTTCTGCAAGCGTCTGAAAAAACGAGCGCGTCTGATTTCGCTCCCCTAGTGACGTTGCAAAGGGATCTCATTAAAATATTACCGCCCCTTAATCTGTAAATTTCCACCCAGGGCGCAGTCATTTTGATTTCGCAAGCGACAACGGTTTAATAGTTCTAATGCCATGGCAAAAGTTTGAGCAAAACATGCTAACTGTTCTGTCTTTGGCTGCACAGACGAGCACAGAACACTATTTACAGTCCCCGCCTCAGAGGAGACAAGACAGAGAGCAGTGGATTTATTGATGTATTTACTGTATATTGCTGCTGCCACACAGATCTAAAATAAACAAGCGATTTATTTCCCAGCTGTTTACCTTCACAGACATAACCAACTGTTTTTTGT